AACCTTGAGTTTTGAGGGGGGGGGGGGGGGGGGGGGGGGGGGGGGGGGGGGGGGGGGGGGGGGGGGGGGGGGGGGGGGGGGGGGGGGGGGGGGGGGGGGGGGGGGGGGGGGGGGGGGGGGGGGGGGGGGGGGGGGGGGGGGGGGGGGGGGGGGGGGGGGGGGGGGGGGGGGGGGGGGGGGGGGGGGGGTGGGGGGGGGGGGGGGGGGGGGGGGGGGGGGGGGGGGGGGGGGTGGGGGGGGGGGGGGGGGGGGGGGGGGGGGGGGGGGGGGGGGGGGGGGTGTGGGGGGGGGGTGGGGGGGGGGGGGGGGGGGGGGGGGGGGGGGGGGGGGGTGGGGGGGGGGGGGGGGGGGGGGGGGGGGGGGGGGGGGGGGGGGCAGATGGGCCGGACCTACAAGGTATTCTGTGCATGTTTGATCGGGTCTGGAGACACCAGATATCGCTTTAGACAGCCTTTAAACTGACCAATATGTAATAGTTGTCTTTACGGTTCTCTTCTCTACATTTGTAATGCAATGCTAAATAATTCTTGTTTGGTGAAAGCAATACAATGAATCCTTCCCCAAACAAATTTCTGATGCTCTGGCCACCTCAGAGGATAAACAACGGTGCTCTATCTGCTGCATCGAGCAGGGTGGATAGGGGTTTGGATGCTACTGCTCAAGCCTTCCCATCTTCTTATTCCCCTTCTTGCGCTTTTTCACCCTTATCGTCCCGTTCCAGCTTCACTTTTATCCCCCCTGTTTTCAACCCCCCAATTCTCGGCCCTCCCCCACCTTGCTTCAATAGTCGCTTGTCTTTTAGTTTCAACTCACAGGTGAACGCAGAGCGTCATTCCTGCACTGTCAACAGGCCCATGTCCAAGCAAGCGGCCCATTCCAGTTCATCGGCTTCCATTTGGAGCCCTCGATCCTCCTTCAGACTGGCATGCCTCAATGTTCGCACATTGCTTCAGATCGGTCAACAGGCAGCACTTGCCCGAACATTGGAGACCCTCTCGATCGATATCTGCTGCTTATCGGAGACCCGCCTGCAAGACTCGAGCTCTGTACTCACTCTGCGATCCCCTTCAGGTGACACTAGCAGCACTTTCTCATTGCGCCTATCCGGTGACGATGCAGCTTCGAGCACCGGCCAAGCTGGTGTTGGTATTGCCCTGAGTCCCGGGCTGAAGCTGCTCTGGTTGATTGGATTCCCATCAGTAGCCGGATGTGTGCGATCCGATTGGCTGGCTCGTTCAAAACTTCGAAGTCGCGTGGGACTAACAGGTGTCTGTTCGTGATCGCTGCCTATGTACCGACAAACTGTAGCGATGACTCGGTAAAAGAGGACTTCTCTCGTCAACTGAACGAGCTCCTTCGCCACAGAAGAAGCTCGGACACTGTAGTGCTGGCTGGGGATCTGAACGCTCAAGTTGGAAAATTATCCACAGATGAGCTGCATCTGGGCGGCCAACATGGTTTAGGCTCCCGTAATGGTAACGGTGAGCGGTTACTTCATTTGTGTGAGGATGCTCGCTTATTTCTTGCGAGCACTAATTTCCGACACAGCACCCGCCGGAGGGTGACTTGGCGCCCACCAGCCTCGAACCAGCTATGGACGCAAATCGATCACATTGCTATCAGTTACCGCTGGAGAGGCTGCATCCAGAACCTGTCGCTCGATTTGGAGCACAGGTGTTGACACCGGATCATGCACTTGTATGTGCTGACCTGCGGATGCGCTTTGGCGGACGCCCCGCGACGATGTTGTGAGCGCATTGACACCGGCAGACTGGCGAAGCCAGCTGTTCTGAACGCCTATCAAATTACGCTGTCATCCGAGTTGCATAAACGCTCACTGGATGCAAGTGAAGCTCACTGGTCTCATATGCAACTGGCCTTACTAGCAGCAGGCAACTCCTCATGTGGTATGTCTAATCGCCAACTTGAACATTGGGTCTCTTCACAGTCTTTGGAACTAATAGATGCTCGCCGGCATATTCCGGCTGGAAGCGAACCACAATGAAACTCGCAAAGAGCTCCGGGCAAAACTCCGTGCTAGCGTGAAGAGAGACCGCGAATCCTGGTGGTCTCCGTCGTGCAACAGAGATGGAAATGGCCGCTGCCCTTGGTAACCATCGTAAGTTATTCCGTCTTATACGGGGAAACGGCAACAGGAGACCTGGTGTTAGGGAAACTATCCGTGACGAGAGTGGACAGCCTATCCACAACTTAGCAAAACAGCCTGAACGTTGGGCTGAGCACTTTGAAAGGCAATTTAATCGGTCGGAATTGTTAGATTTCTCGCCCGACCAGTGATCGCCCTGCTCCGTGGGCTGTTCTTTTGGATCCACCCTCTCGCTCAGAAGTCGAACATGAAATCAAACTGTTGAAGTTAGATAAAGCCGCGGGACCTGATGACCTTCACCGGCCCTTTTCAAATTCGGGGGACCTGCTCTCGTGGATGATTTACACGAGTTACTAGTGAGACTGTGGGAGCAGGAAACTGTCCCAACCGATTGGAGCCGCTCCATCATAGTGCTAATTTTCAAAGGAGGCTCACGATCGGAATGCGGCAGTCATAGAGGAATCAGTCCGATCTCCATCGCCTCCAAATTGCTTGCCTCTGTCATCCTTCACAGACTGACTGGCACTCGTGAAAGCCAGATTCGCGAAGAGCAAGCTGGATTTCGTCGCGGTCGTAGCTGCATTGATCACATCTCCACCTTGCGTCAGTTGTTGGAGCACCGTCACATAACTTGGCGGCCCACCATTGTCGTGTTCCTTGATATCAAAGGTGCATTCGATTCGGTGGATAGACATGCACTTTGCGACTGTCTACTCAGGAAAGGTTTACCTGAGAAATATGTGAATATTATCCGAGCATTATATGCGCGTAGCTCGGGCAGAGTGAGGGCTTACGGCAAGTTGTCGTCGCCCTTTAATATCTCCAGCGGCGTGAGACAAGGATGCCCGCTGTCACCTTTCCTCTTCAAATTCGCTGTTGACGAAGTCATGGAAATCGCGTTTACAGGACACGACTTAGAAGGTGTGGAGCTACTCCCAGGAGAACGACTTCTTGATTTAGAGTATGCTGATGATATTGCCCTCATCTGTGACAGCTCACAAACGTGCCAAGCGGCACTGGACAGATTAGCACTAGCTGTCCGTCACTTCGGGCTTTGCTTCGCACCCTCGAAGTGCAAAGCGTTCCTCCAAGATTGGCCTGGACCGCCTCCTACGCTGAACCTTGGTGGGGATTTGCTAGAAGTGGTTCAAAAATTCAACTACCTGGGAAGTTGTATCAGCGCCCGTGGGATTGAGGATGAGATCACGAATCGTATAGCAAAAGCTCGGGGCGCTTTTGCTAACCTTCGCCATTTATGGCGGCGGCGCGACATCACTCTTGCCATGAAGGGTAGAGTGTACAATGCAGCAGTACGTTCGATCCTATTGTACGGTTGTGAAATCTGGCCGCTTAAAGCAGCGGACCTGAATAGGCTAGTTACGTTCGATCACCGGTGCCTTCGTAATTTAGCTCACATTTGGTGGGAACACAGAATTAGCAACGAGCGTGTTCGACGGCTTGTTTATGGCACAGGAAAAAGAAATGAACCGCTCAGCACCGTTATTCCACGCACCAGGCTCCGATGGCTCCACCACGTGTTACGCATGCCAGCCCACCGACTTCCGCGACGTGTGTTGTTTGCGCGCCGGGGGTGTGGATGGAAGAAGAGGAGAGCTGGCCAAGTGATGACTTGATCCAGAGGAATGAAGACCCTCACTTCTGAGCTGGCCTCGGTTGGAGCGTCTCGGCTCCCTGGTTGGGGTCCGAAAGACGATGAACACGTTTGGTTGGACACACTTGCTGATATGGCTAGGAGCCGACCTCAGTGGCGTTCGTGCTGTGAGTTTCTTTGTCCCACCCCATCCCTCTTAGCCTCCCCTTCCAACCACTATCTCTTTACTTAGCCTTATATAATTTTGCATAATGATTTTTTTTGGTGCACAGCATCCGGCTGGTAGCTTACCGGAACGGTGCCCATCCGTTACCGGTAGCTCAGCCAGCTTTCACCAGTTGTTGTTTTTTCTCTCCTTTTTTCTTTGTATTGCAGCACAGTAGCTGAGGTGTTCTCCACCTCTAGCTAACGTGTATGATGATCATGATGATGATGATGGTGGAAGCAACTGCTCAGGGACATTTAACAAGTCTAAATTCTCTGCTCTTCGAATGCATGCAACTGATAAATTAGTCTGACAATTCTTAAAGTCACGTTACTTGTGGATGTTTTCAGCAATTATCTGTTTTCGGCAATTCCGCCGTACAGTTTCGTTGAATAACCTGTCTACCTTTCTCTTACCGTATTGAAATCAACCATTTATTAATATCATTATTATTGCTGTTATTATTTACATCATCCTATTTTACATTCCACCACCACTGGGCCGGTTTTCTGGCGTGATGGATTGAAGCTTTTAGCGCTAATCTACTCATGCACAGCGTCTTGTCACAGCTTCACTGGCGTGCAATAAAAATGCCAGACTTGAAAAAACTGAATGATAAGACGTGCTGGACGGGGCTTGAATACCCATACCTGTATACGAATTACAAAAAAACTCTAAAGGTGAGTTATAATGCTCGCGACTTGCTTGTTTTTAAACCACATTGGCACACGGCCAGATGCGGCATATAACTGCGAGGGAAATATTTCGATGGACTATCCCGCATGGAAGCAAGTCGCTTGGATGGCTGTCTAACTTCACTTGAACATTTGGCTATATCTGCATTTATAATTATTGCTAACCTCAATCTTTCCGATATATTCAACCTATCAATCATTGTAAAAATGCGTGTGGGAACCACATCGAAAAATTTGAACAATTATCTGTCTTATGCCATCCCTCTACAAATTGACCAGACCACACCGTTGGACTGGTCCTCGCACTGTGGAGGAATACACCGTGTTTATCTATTTATTTGATACTCAATCGCTACGTGTGGAAGTAGCATGCTGTGATGCCAGTCCACCTGGGAATGGTGGGTTTGTCTTGCACCTCTGTGATTACTCAGGATACCCGATGTAAGTGCTCACTGAGGACATCAAAGCCGATGTTGACACAATTGTCTTTTGGGAGTCATCACGCGTCTATCGTCTTTATGTGTAAGTCAACGTTTGTCCCCTTAGTTTTGAGAAAAGTAACGACGAACTCCGGGGAAGCTTTCTCCAGTTCAGCGTCCTCCTATCAGATTGGCCTACCCATTTACGCGGTCCAATGAAGACAATCATTTAGGTACACTGTCTCCCACATGTATCACGATGGTGTGGAAAGCTACGCGCGCAAATCTGGCGCCTGGATACTAGAGGGTTGTCTGTTTAATCATCGGCCTGGTGGCCATTGATCGATGATGATTTCGCATTGTGCAATGCAAAGCAA